AAATTGCCATTTTCTGTTATAAACAGAGACACAAATAGAGCAGAGGTTTTTCATTCTCTTCCCAGCATCCTGTTAACGTATCTAAGTATTCGGATGGGGAGAGAAGGTAGCAAAGGAGCGTTTTTTGTGCGTTTTTGTACACTACAGAAAAATGAGACATGCATTTCATGAGCATGTACTCTAGAAGTTGCAAATTACTGGATTTGTATTATTGAGACTAGTTAACTGAAGAGTTGACTCTCTGGCCTGCTTAGGTGTAGTGGTCTTGAATGTAATTACTAGATTTTTAAATGAAAACCAGCTTAGGCTGTTTCAAACATCCATACACAGCATGGACAACACAACTCCCAATATTTCAGTTTTTAGTAACTATCATGACTTTCTTTCTAAAACGTCCCATTTTGTGCATATGGGTTACCAAAGAATTCAGCAGATGAGTAGGTAGTGAAGAAGCGCAGGTCCAGCGTCTCGTCCAAATTCCGACTTCAATAACAAGATTCTGCTTAAATCTCCCCTGCAGCTTTTACAAAATACAGCTCTCTTCTCAAGTGGTCCTGCAGCACTGGGCAGCATTCCTGGGAAGCTGTTAAATCCTGGCAAATATCTCCTCCCATTGAAGTCACAAGGGACATTAGGTACACGGAAAACAATCACCCAAACTTGAATTTGGGCCCAACACCGAGGTAAACATTCCTGCACTTGCATTGGGATTGTGGGATCTTTGCCAGCGACAAGTGTCAGGCCGTGGTTGAAAAGCACAAACGAGATTAGCTCAGTGTGCAGTACGAACACAAAGTCAGAAACTCAGCACCTCACAACCTGGTTATTTAGAAATATTTACGACACTGTTTATGAAAAAGCTCCTGTAACTTTAGAAAAAACTTACTTCTTCAAAAACTTCTCTAAATACAGAAAACCTGTCTTAGCTTATTTTGGCTGTGCTGGAAGTATTTTGCATTTCAGTAGTTAGATATACCAAAGGACTCTCAAAGTATTCAAGCAAGCTGAGCCAGATCATTAGTATCAGTGAAATTATTCTATACTATGCTGAATAGACAGTTATAACAGTTTTCTTCTGAACTGGGATTAATTTCTTTAAAACATTTAACTCACATCTAAATGAATTTATTCCCTAAGAGTTAGTCATTTGTAAACTAAAATCCTTCGAAAGAAACACTAGAAGTTCTAGAAATCCCCAGTAAAAGGGAAGACTCCAAACCCACCCCACACTGAATCATTTGCAATTTTTACTCTTGCTGGTTTTGTTGCTGGGGAAGTAACATTTCTTTTTTTCTCAGACTGAGGCAACTGTAAAGTTGCTCTTTTCACTGGACCAATTTCTTAAATCAACTCTTTCATAGTTTCTTTTCCGCTGCCACTTGAGGATAACCACCACAGTAACCCCAAAGATGATAGTCAGTGTCACCACTGTCACCACAACCGTGATGCCAGAAATCATACGTCTCGCAGAAAACTGGGGTGGCTTTTCATCAATATAGTAAATCAGTATGTTTTCAATATCCAGAGCCTTTCCATTAACAGAGACATTTAATTTACTGTTAGTGTGAAATATGGAGTCATTTTTTATATCCTTCTCAAAATAATAAGCTACATCAGCTATATCTACATCGCCGTCAGATTTCTCCGAGTCATCCTGATTTAAGCGGATTTGGATGAACGGGGCATCATACTTGACACCCGCCACGTACTTGGGGGGCAGTTTGTACCGGTTCTGAAGCAGCTGCTTCAGGGCATTCGCCACTTGACCATCTGCAAAGGCGCCGGGTGTGCTGTGTTTCAGTTCCATGTAGATGCAGCCTGTCCTGATCAGCTCACCGCACCTCAGGCCTCGGTCCCCCTGCTCGGTTCTTCTCACCCCGGCGGAGTTGACACACCAGCACGTGTCGCCTGGGTCGCACTGCCTGGCTTTGAAGCCCCCGCTGTCCTCACAGTCGGGGCTGTAAAGACCCTCGTTGCCTACAGGAGGGCTGTGGAAGCGCTTGCCCTTGCGCGAGGTCATTTCTGCCTTCATCAAGAGGCATTTTGAAGTCAGCGTGGAGCAGTCCACCCTGCGATCAGAACCTACCAGCGTGCAGGTGCAGCTCCCAGACTCGTCCTGCTCGCACAGCGTCCACCTATTCATCGTGCAGCTGCAGCTCTCCTGCCCCCACGAAGCTGCCACCAAAGCGAGAATCAGCAGAACTTCCAGCTGCAGTTCCATATTACGGGCAAAGTGCAGACATCTGAATGGAGAGCAAGCACCATCTGAGGCTTAAACCCACAGACTGCTGGGTTTTTTTTATGTGCAGGTGCACTGTTCGCTTTCCAAAATTCAAATCAAACCTGACAGACAGGTTCTCCCTCCTAAAAGATTGGCCCCTCATAATATACAAATCCCAAAGAAGTTGCACCTTCATCAATTACATTTCAGGGAGCGGCACTGATTCCGCAGATGCCTGCTCTCCCTCCTACTCCATGAGGAAACGGCAAGGAAGTCCAACATGAAGTGCGGTTCCTACCTTGGACTTCTGTGGATTACAGCACAAACCCTCCCCTATGCATTGTCCTGCTTTAGGCTTATGGTGCACACACACAGGTGTGTCTGTAAGGAGTGTACATTGGCACCTAGGGGACCAGAGAACAGAGCACAAGAGGAATCGTAGAATCCTTAAGGGTGGAAGGCACCACTCGAGGTCATCTAGTCCAACCCCCTGCACACGCAGGGTCACTTAGAGCACGTGGCACAGGACTGCGTCCAAGCAGGTTTTGAAGATTTCCAGAGAAGGAGACTCCACAGCCTCTCTGGGCAGCCTGTTCCAGTGCTCTGTCACCCTCACTGTTAAGAAATTTTTCCTCAAGTTCCTGTGGAACTTTTGGTGCTTCAGTTTGTGGCCGTTTCCTCTAGTCCTAGCCTCTCCTAAAAGCCTCCCTGTCCTTCCAGTCCTGGGGTCAGCACACGGTGAGGCAGTGGGATGAAGGACTCTGCCGTCTGCGTTGGTGTCTCTTCCTTGGCCCGGGACGGGCAGACACTGCTCGCTTACTCATCTCTGATATCTGCGTGCCCATGAGGCAGGAGCCTGCCCAACGCGCACGGGCTGAGGCTCCCGAGCTCCTCCAGGAGCTCTAATAGGACAGGAGGGCAATCTCCGAGGAGGCTGCTCCAGAGGGTGACTAAGGTCAGTCCCATTTCCCTTGCCTGAATCCCACTCCTTTGCTGATGCATTCCCGCTCCTCCTCCTATCATCCTTTCATCTTCACCACACACTTCCTCCACATTCTTCTATTCATTACAGACTATCTCCTGGCGATCCTTTCATCTTCACCACACACTTCCTGTACCACTCCACGCTCTTCTCTCTATTCATTACAGACTATCTCCTGGCTATCTTCATACATACATATTAATAATACAAAACCTGTTTTTTAACATATGTTCTTACCAAATGCTGCAGCCACTGCCAATTTTGGTCCCAGGTGGACTGACTGTTCCTCAGTTTGCTGACTCCTCTCCTACTTAACGAGCCCAGAGCTCATCTTTCAGCATGGAAAACCTTTGCATTTCCTTTGACACATATTAATCCCAAGACAATGTTATGAACAGCAGTTTTTATGCTTGTATTAGCCCTAAGGAACTGTCCATAGTTTCTGTAGAAGTATTTCAATCTGAATGCTGTGTAATGCCTTTCACAGGACATCCGAGCAGCTTCCAAGCGTCCTCCTGACCTGCACACCATGAATCAGTATTTCTGTACTGTTGCAGCAAATGAAAGATTTTTCAATTTGCCATTTCACCAAACATCATCAGACACTTTGCAAATCATTATTTTGGGAGCAATATTGACCACAGAGCACTCCAAATGCCATCCTCCATGCACACAACCTCCTCCTTACACTCAGTTCCTTCTATCTGCACTGGCTTCCTTCCAAGGGCCTGCCCTGATTTAAATCACCTACCTCTAAATTATCACTCACACCTATGCAAATAGTAGGGAGTTAAACTGCCTGTCAATGAGTACTTACAACACAGCATATATTTCAATTAAACCTTTGGATGTAAATACCCTCTGCCGTTAGAGAAGGGCATAATCTGGAGTGCAGCTTTGCAGCTGGATCAGTTTCTATTTCAAACAAGCCACAGAAATACCCCTATGTGGGGCTGTGAAGATGAGTCAAGTTCCTTAATTTTCTTCCCGGCTCCTTTCAGGACCTGCAACACGTTACTGCACATGTGCACTTCATCGGTTCAGCTAAAAACAGTCATAGGTAACCTATCACAGAAAATAATTGACATCTACAGCTAAAATTATTTAAAATATTGTCAGTAGTTTCAAATTCCATACTCCTCAATAATGAGGAATAATGATGAACTTCATGGGTAGAGAGGGTTGATTTTATTTTTCTTCTCTCCAACAGGTTTCACTGAGGAACCCATCCTCAATGCCTATAAACTGTTATAGCCCACAACCAGCTTGAACGGAGCCAGGGCACTTCACAGGCACCTGAGAGCTGAGCTGCCTTGCACCTAGAAAGTACCGTAAGGAATGGAAAGGAATAGGATTTTTTTTTTAAATACTATTTGGCCTATATAGTGTTTACAGAGATTCAAACTTGACTTCAGCCTCATATCATCAGTAGAAATTCCACATTTTACAGACAGATATAGTGAAATACAGAAAAAAAAGGTTTGTCAAGAAGTAATATATGAAAGAAAACCCACAGTTAATGAACAAAGATGGTCCGTTTTCCCTGATGTTGGATGAATCTCTCTGCTGTTACCATTAATCATAAACTGCATTCACTTCATACCACCACCAAGCAAGAAATGCAAAACAGTTGCAAGAAAAGCGGAAACAGGGAATACTTTTAAATTATTAAAATTAAGTTATTAATATTATCCAGTTTCAGAGTTGCAAACTTGCTAAAATAAAAGTGTACTTTTACAACTACTTTCTTGCACTTGTAGATGTTACCTCTGTAAATAAGGAGGAGAACATACTTAAGGGGGGGGAAAAAGTCACTTGATTCTGGAAGGCACTAAAAAAAAAAAAAGTATTATTATTTCCTTTAATCCATATTAAATTTTAATGGCATTACAAGAGTTAATTATTCAGAACAGCAGGCTACTAAAGGAATCTTGTAGCAAGAGTGGAGCGCATTATTTCTTTGCTGATCTCTGCTTCCATGGAAACAATTTCTCTGCATAATTCCAACTCTCATAAAAATAGGGCACTAGGTCTGTGTAAAACAGCAAGACACTTCCAATTAAACAACCCAAGTGCTTTTATCTAGGCCATTAAATACTCTGTTCGATATCAAATACGACTGCTCTGCTCCCTGGGCTGCTACGAGCCAGCTCCTTCCAGGGTGCTGGATGAGGGGGTAGATGAGGGCTCTGTGGGTGCCTTTTGGGGCACCGCGGGCACCCCTGCCCGAGGGAGCCACCTGCAGCCTCTCGTGGTGCCACCCGCTTCCCCTCTCCCCAGTG